GCCATACATAGCAAAGAAATTGAATCCATGAAACAGATTCAATCAGAAATTCAAGAGATTAAAATGTATGTGATATATAAACATGTAAGAGATTAAAAGTATATGCAAAAGACTGAACAAAAGAGAGTGTTAGAATTTCAGATTTTGAAGACAAAATTGTTGCTAGTGGTCATGAAAAGAATGCTATCATAAAACTAGGAAGAGACTATGAGAAATCAACAGGTACAAAATCAAGCAAAAAAGAATAATATGAGATTGATTGGGGTCAACGAGAAAGCTGGAGACAGGAAAAATACTATAAACAACTTCAGAAAAATAATGGCAGAAAACTGCCCAAGTACGGAGAAAGTATGTGACATACAGGGCAAGGGATTTAGCTCACTGACGTAAGTGCTTGCTTGGCAAACAAGAGGTTGTGAGTTCAATGCCAAGCCAAAAAAAAAAAAAAAAGAAAGGAAAAAAAATTGACACATTCAAATGAAGCATATAGAACTCCAAATAGATGTAACCAAACTGAAACTACACCAATATATATTGAAGATTCTAGATTTCAGCACATGAACACAATATTAAAAGTGGGTAGGGAAAAATCACAGATCACTAATAATTGAAAGCCCATCAGAATCACAGTAGTCTTCATTGTAGCTTGGCATTACTGACACCATCATGAGCTCTGCATTTAACTAGTGCACTGTATTTGATGCAGGAGGATGGAAAATTACTTGTTGTCCATGTCTTATGAGAAAAGCAGAATGAGCTGCACCTACAGGAAACAATTAACCTGCTCAAAAAAAGAAGCAGGATACAGGTGTAAACCAAAGATTAATGGAAGATTCTACTTCAATAGTTTCCAATAGGATGTCACATTGTTTGTTTTCTCTGTTTAAAAGTTTGTAAGTTTCCAGTTCAGGGCCAATTGTTTGGGCTCTGAAATGGGCAGGGTCTGTATATGACTAGTCCAGAGTTCAGTTAATTAAATTCCAAATGTATCAGTTGGGCTGCTTGGAATCCTATATTTTTGTTCATGAACCTAACTCAGTATTCTCAACACAAATATCCAAGTGAAGAAGAGTTTGGACAGAAGTAAAAGTCCTGAAAGAAAAATCTTCCAATCTACATTTCATATATACTGGAAAACTTTCAAAATTAGTGGAAACATAAGATACTTCCATCACAAAGAACAACTTCCAAATTGAACTGAGAAAAAATAATGAAAGTTACATAGAGAGGTAAAAATGGCCACAATTCCAAGAAAAGCACAGAAACCACCAGGCAGGACAAGTAATTAAACCGAGGAGAAAAGCAGAAAACCAACAGCAGAATAACATTAAAACAAAGACAAACCAATGCATATCACTGTAAATGGTCTCAACTCACCTACCAAAAGAAGTAAATGGGGAGAATGGATCACGAAACAATATCCAAAAATATGCTGAATGCAAAAGACTTGTTTAAGGCAAAAAGAAATTCAGAAATTCAAAGTCAAAGGATGGAAAACAATCTTTCATGTAACAAGGGCCCAGAGAAAAGCATGAGTAGCTATTCTCTTTGGAGACAATATGAACTTCAACCAAGAATGACCAAAAAGATAAAGAACCTCACTCTATACTTGTTAAGGGAAAAATTTGAAAAGGATAAGATAACATTCACAAATATGTATGCATCTAATATAGGAGCACTTAACTACATGAGGCAATTATTAAAAGACATGAAAAAATCAAATAAAAATTCACACAATTGATACAGGAAGCTTCAATATCCTACTATCACAAACAGATAGATGAACTAGTCAAAAAACCAGCAAATAAATATGAAAGCTGAACCAAATCTGTGAACAAATGAGCTGAATAGATGTTTACCAACTATGTGACCCAACATAATCAGAAAAAGCTTTCTTGTCAGCTGTGCATGGGAGGTTCTCTAAAACAGACCGTATATACTAGTCCACAGAATATGTTGAAGTAAATATGAAGGAAATGAAGTTACACCATGCATTTTACCTCACCATAGTGCAAGAAAATTGGGCAATAATGGTAAAAGAAATTTCAAAAACTTCATAAATATATGGAAATTATTTAAATAACACCCTCCTAAAAAAACAATTCGTCACAGATGAAATAAAAGAAGAAACTTAAAAATACCTACAACTCAACAAGAATATAGATGCAAAGTCCTGGATTTTATGGGATTCAATGAAAGCAGTCCTGACAGGGAAATTTATAGTAGTGAAATCACACATCAAGAAATAGAAAGAGCACAAACAAATAATCTGATGTTTCTCATTTCCAGAAAAAAGAATGGCAAGACAAAACCAAAACCCACACAAGGGAGGAAACTAAAAAGATCAGAGGAGAAATTAATGCAATGTAGACCCAGAAAATAATAAAAGAATTAATGAATCAAAGGGTTGGTTCATTGAAAGAATAAACAAAAATGATAAACCTTTAGCCAACCTTATCAAAAAAGAAAAGAAAACCTGAAAACCATGCATTGAGGAATGAAAACAGTAAAATAACTACAGATCCTGTGAAAATTCAGAAGATCATCAGTATCTCCTTAAAAAGCTTATGTTTTCCTATGTTGGATATTATAGAAATGGTTCGATTCCTAGATATATATGAATTTCCAAAGCTGACCAAAGAAGAAATAAAAATTCTTGTTAATGCAGTATCAGTTAATGAGACTTAAAATCTAATTAAAAATTTATCAGCAGCTGGGCATGGTGGTGCTTGCCTGTAATCCCAGACTTGGGAGGCTGAGGTAGAAGGATTGTTGTGAGTTTCAACCTAACCAGGGCTACAAAGTGAGCAGAATGTCACCAACTGCATAATGAGACCTTGACTCACGAACATGAAAAAAAAGAAAAACAGTGACAACAGCAGTGCATGCAAATCAACAAATTTTAACATCATATCAACACAGGCAAAGACAAAAGTCAAATGAAATGTTTTCTCTGAATTTGTGAGTTTTCCTAATAGTATTTTGATGGGAATTTCAATAAATCTATATTACAGTTTGCAATAAGATTTTTTTTGAATTTTCTCCAAATCCTTGAAGGTAGTTTTACTGGATTCTTATATTCGCCTGATGCATGCTAATAGATATGGTCCTAAGAGTTTCAAACTATCGAGTTCCCATTCCCAAAGATATCCATATTAATATGACAATTTTTCTGTTTGATTGAGACAGGGTTTCCTTATGCCATTCAGACTGACTGTGGACTCACTTCTTAGTCAATTAAATTCACACTAATTAGCCCTCCTCAGCCTCCCAAGTTTTGGTATTATAGGTGTGCACCTAAAACCTGAAAAAAACAAGGGAGAGAGAAAGACTGGTAAAAGAAAACAAAAATAACAGAGCTGAATGAAAATTGACTTATCTAAAATGGGAATTATGGAATGATGTGGCAGAGGAAAGTTAATCATGTGGTGGCATCCAGGAAGCAATAACAAATAGAGTTAGGAATTTTACCTACTGTGCTACAGCACAACAGTGACATCCTTCCTCCAATACATATGCAATTTACTAGACTGAGGAGGTCCAAAAGCTCATGTAAATGCAAAACTAAGAGCAAATAAGCAGCTTATAACCAAGGTTTTGGGACATGGCATTTAGCAGATGTCTCACATTCAAATTGAAATAGAAGAAATATAATCCTACCCTGTTTGATGTCAAATGCACCAAGTTGGTTCTCTCACAACATTGAGAAATGAAGTCACAAACCAAAAGAAGTTCAAGAAGTTTTCTTGGAAAAAAAAAAAGATTAGCCCTGGATTTTCAGGAGTGGTCTGTGTTTTGGCCACAGACCTATTGTTAGGGTTCATTTGAGAGGGTTAATTTCCAGCTATAAACCCCCCGAGCAATAAAACAGAACAGAAAGGAATGTTTTAATCCTTAACTCCCCCTGAGATATCAGAATAGGACAGGAAGGAATGTTCCTGATAGTCATTAACCACAAGATGTTCTGTTTTCAGCAGAGATAAGTAAAAGAATGTTCTGTTTAAACAAGACAGAGTTGTACCTGGTACATAGAGATCAGGCCAGGACCCTCAGTCTCCATGGTTACTCAGTCCCTAACCCCGCAAATCAGCTTCTGCCAAGTCCTGCGCCGTTCAAAATTAACCAATGCGATCTGCTTCTGTAAACTTGCTTGCCTCCCGCTTGAGCCCTTAAAAACCCTACACAATTCTCCCTCAGGGCCCTCCGCACTTGTTTGCCTGGAGGACCCCATGCGCATGGAAATAAACTTTTGTGCCTCACCCAGAGCTGAGTACTTGGGGTCTTCTTCCTTGCGACTTTGGCCCTTACATATGGAGGCCCCAGCGAGATAGCACGTCTCACGGGAGACAACCTCAACGGCTCCGCTTTGTACGGCGGGTGAGTACGACTGGTCACTTCTTATTTTTGTTCTGAGATCGATCTATCAGTGTTTTACGCCCCGAGCTGAGCAGCTCCAATCTAGGGGCAATTTCTGTTATCTGTTCTTTGGTGACCGGGGGACGCCCCACACGGTTTTCCGTGGCTCACCGTCTGCGATAGGATTTTCCTATCGATCTGGGGAATTTCATTCCCAATCTGTGGTCCGACCGGGCAAATTTGGAGACACCCTCTGAGGTGGGTCGTTTGGAGTGGAACTGATGCGTGAGCATGAGGCCGGCCTGTTCGTCTTGTTGTGTGTTGTGGGTGTTGTGTTTAGTTATTTGTTGTATCGCGCTTGCGTTAACCGCCCTGTGACCATAGAATGCCATGGGACAATTGACCTCATCCCCATTGTCCCTCACCCTCGACCATTGGTCGGAGGTGCGGAAGAGGGCTCACTATCTCTCCTTACAGGTCAAGAAGAGTAAATGGCAGGTTTTCTGCTCGACTGAATGGCCCACTTAATCCGTGGGTTGGCCACCGGAGGGGACTTTCCACCTTCCCCTCACCCTAGCAGTTAAGAACATCATCTTCCGCCCCGGACAAGGGGGCCACCCTGATCAGTTCGCTTACATCTTGGTATGGCAGGCCTCAGGGAGGAACCCCCATTGTGGGTGAAACCCTTTCTTCCCCCTCCTGACTCCTCCATACCTAAACTCTTAGCTTTGAAAGGGCCTCCCACTCCGGTTCTGCCCGAGTCTCAGCCCGATCTCCCTCTGCTCGACTATGATCGACCCCCTTCTTCTCAACCGGCTCCACCTCCCCCATACCCACTCTCTCCTCCAGCCTCTTTGTCTGGATCAAGCGCTCCTTCTCCCTCAGCACCCTCTTCACCTGAACCGGGCCCCTCTTCTCCTCTGGTATCCGCGTCTCCTCTATACCCCCTGCTTCCCACAATGGCTTGCTCTGGGTCTACACCCCCAGGGCCCGCAGTTCCAGCTCAGAACCCCTGGAGCAAGCTACGATCTGAAGACCCAGTTGTTACCCTTCCCCTTCGCCCTTACGGGCCCATGGTAGACGACGGGACAGACGGGAGGCAAATGCCTGCTTTACAGTACTGGCCTTTCTCTACCTCAGACCTCCATAACTGGAAAAACAATAATCCTCCTTTCTCTGATGATCCCTCTAAGTTAACAGGTTTGACGGATTCTATCATGTTCTCCCACCAACCTACATGGGATGATTGCCAGCAGCTTCTAGGAGTCCTTTTCACCACCGAAGAGAGACGCATCCTTCTTGAAGCTCGGAAAGCCGTTCCCAGAGAGAATGGCAGACCCACCCAGAGACCAGACCTGATTGATGATTTCTTCCCTTTGAAACGCCCCAATTGGGACCCCAACTCACCTGACGGTAGGCAGCATCTTTCTATCTATCGCCAGACTCTAATGGCAGGTCTCTGGGTGGCTGCAAGGCGCCCCACTAATTTGGCCAAGGTAAGAGAGGTTACCCAAGGGCCTACTGAGACTCCCTCAGTTTTTCTGGAACGCCTGATGGAAGCTTACCAGCGGTACACGCCTTTTAACCCTGAAGAGGAAGGCCGACAGGGCTCAATAGCCATGGCCTTCATAGGGCAATCGGCACCTGATATAAGACGTAAGCTCCAAAGGCTAGATGGTCTGCAAGACCTAACTCTGAGGGATCTTGTTAAGGAAGCTGAAAAGGTCTATTATAAATGGGAGACGGAGGAGGAAAAGGAGTTAGCTAGGGACAAAAGATGAAACAAGGAATTGGCTAAAATGTTGGCTACAGTTATTCAGGGAAAACCTGAGACAGGAAAGGGAAAGCCCACTCGCCCCCCATTAGACCCAGACCAATGTGCATATTGTAAGGAAAAAGGGCACCTGATCAAAGACTGTGAGAAATTAAAAAAGAAATGAGCCAATAAGGAACGGGAAAAACAGTCCTCACTGCGACCCCGAGCCCCCATGCTCGCCTTAGATGAAGAGGACTAGGGACTTCGGGGCTCGGACCCCCTCCCCGAGCTCAGGGTAATGTTTAAAGTGGAGGGGACTCCCATAGAATTCGAGGTCGACATGGGAGCTGTTTACTCGGCCCTTCAGGCCCCCTTAGGGGCCCTTTCAACTAAGAAATCGCTAGTTCAAGGGGCTAACGGGAGCAAATATCGCTCGTGGACCACTGAGCGCACAGTTGACCTAGGCAAGGGAAAAGTAAAGCACTCCTTCCTGGTTATTCCTGAATGCCCTGCTCCCCTCCTGGGACGAGACTTATTAACCAAACTAGGGGCAAAGATCTCCTTTGAGCCCCAAGGACCTCAGGTGACATTCCGTAACCCAAAGGTTGGGCAACCCATAGTTACGGTGTTATCTCTAAAGTTGGAAGATGAATATAGGCTCTATGACCACCGAGACCCCAGCCCATCGCCCCTGCTTGGCTAACTGATTTTAAAGACTCCTGGGCCGAGATGGCTGGACTCAGGCTGGCAAGCCAGCAACCGCCAGTAGTGGTCACTCTAAAAGCCACTGCCTCTCCCATTCGAGTTAAACAATATCCTATTAATAGAGAAGCTCACCTGGGGATCAAGGTACATATACAGAGACTGTTAGACCAAGGGGTATTGACCCCTTGCCGGTCTGCATGGAATACTCCATTGCTCCCTGTCAGAAAGCCTGGGACAAATGACTACAGACCAGTACAGGACCTGAGAGAGGTCAACAGCCGGGTGGAAGACATTCACCCCACCGTACCCAATCCTTATAATCTCCTCAGTGGTTTAAATCCATCAAAGACTTGGTATACTGTTCTGGACTTAAAGGATGCCTTTTTCTGTTTGCCCTTACATAAAGGTAGCCAGCCCTTGTTTGCATTTGAATGGATGGACCCTGAAACTGGGTCCACCAGACAGTTGACCTGGACGCGCCTCCCACAAAGCTTCAAAAATAGCCCAACCATCTTTGATGAAGCTCTACACAAGGACCTAGCCCCCTTCCGAGCCCAGCACCCGAACCTCACCCTCCTCCAATATGTAGATGACTTGCTGCTGGCCACAGACTCTGAGGGTGATTGCACCAGTGGAACCCAGGACCTTTTACGTGAGTTGGCCGTCTTGGGGTATAGGGCATCAGTGAAAAAGGCTCAAATTTGCAGACGAGAGGTAATTTTCCTGGGCTACTCCTTAAAAGGGGGAAAAAGATGGCTCACTGAGGCTAGAAAGCAGACTGTGGTCCAGATTCCCCCTCCAAAGAGCCAAAAACAATTACGGGAGTTCCTGGGTACCGCGGGGTTTTGCCGGTTGTGGATCCCTGGGTTCGCAACCTTGGCAGCTCCCCTGTACCCATTACTAAAGGGGGGGATCTCCCTTTGTTTGGGAAAGAGACCACCAGCAGGCCTTTGATGCCATCAAGCGGGCCCTCCTATCCGCTCCGGCCCTGGCCCTTCCTAATGTAGACAAACCTTTTACTCTCTTCATTAAAGAAAAAAAAGGAATAGCGAGAGGAGTATTGACCCAGGCCTTTGGGCCATGGAGGCGTCCGGTGGCTTACCTCTCAAAGAGACTGGACCCTGTGGCGAGCAGATGGCCACCCTGCTTAAAGGCCATCGCAGCGGCGGCCTTGCTTATTAAAGATGCTGATAAATTGACTTTGGGACAAAAAGTAACAATCATTGCCCCGCATACACTAGAAAGTATCATCCGCCAACCTCCAGACAGATGGCTCTCAAATGCCAGAGTCACTCATTATCAGAGTCTCTTACTCAATAAAGACAAAATAACTTTCGGACCCCCTGTGACTCTCAACCCGGCAACCCTGCTGCCGGAAGAAACTTCGGAACCCATCCTCCATACCTGCCAGGACATCTTGGCAGAAGAGGCCGGAGTACGGCCGGACTTACTGGATTGCCCCCTGTCCGATGCGGAGGTGACTTACTTCACTGACGGGAGTAGCTTCCTGATTCAAGGTAAGCGGTATGCGGGGGCAGCTGTCACCGATCATTCCAATGTTATTTGGACAGCCAGGCTGGAGGACGGGTCTTCGGCCCAAAAGGCCAAGCTGATCGCTTTGACTAAGGCTCTGGAGCTCGCCAAAGGAAAGCGAGGAAACATCTACACAGACAGTTGATACGCTTTTGCAACGGCCCACATCCATGGGGCCATATACCGCCAGCCGGGACTTCTAACTTCCGCAGGCAAAGAAATAAAGCACAAACAGGAGATTCTTCAATTATTAGCTGCGGTCATGTTACCCCAGAAGGTGGCGATAATACACTGTAACAGCCACCAAAAAGGGACTGATCCCATCACGAAGGGAAACAACCTGGCCGATCAGGCAGCGAAATCTGCAGCCATGGGAGGCTCACAGATGCTGGTGACTGATATCAAAGATGCCCCTCCCAAAAATAAAGCTCAAAGTAACCAAACCCCTGAGGCACCAGACCTGACTACCTACATACAACAGGCCCACCGGCTCACCCATTTGGGGGTTAAAAAGCTGTGCCTACTGGCCCAACGCCAAGACTTCCCGGGGGCATCCCCCGCTGCCATACGTCAGGTCGCCACACGGGTCGTGACTAATTGTGAGGCATGTCAATTGACCAATGCCTACCCTGCCAAGCTGGCCCCCGGCAAAAGGCTACGCGGTACCAGGCCCGGACAATACTGTGAAGTAGACTTTACAGAAATTAAGCCTGCCCGATGTGGACTAAAATATCTGTTAGTTTTTGTGGATACATTTTCTGGATGGACTGAGGCCTTTCCTACCAAAAAGGAAACTGCTGCCATGGTCACAAAGAAGTTGATGGAAGAAATTTTTCCCCGGTTCGGATTGCCAAAGGTAATAGGGTCTGATAATGGGCCGGCGTTTGTGGCTAAGGTAAGTCAGGGACTGGCCAACATATTGGGGATTGATTGGAAATTACATTGTGCTTATAGACCCCAAAGTTCAGGACAGGTAGAAAGGATGAATAGAACTATTAAGGAGACCCTCACTAAATTAGCTCATGAGACTGGCTTAAAAGATTGGATGATGCTCCTGCCTTATGCCCTTTTTCGTGCGTGAAACACCCCGTCTGCTAAACCCCCTAACCTCACCCCCTTCGAAATCTTGTTTGGCACTCCACCCCCCATTCGAGATCTCACTCCCCTAACTGAACATACTACCCTGTTACCAACCTCCTTGTCTGACAGGCTCATCGCCCTCGACAACCTACAAAGGGACGTGTGGACTCAACTAGCCTCGGCCTACGCCCCCAGTGAGTTCCCCGTGCCCCATCCATACCAAGTGGGAGACTTTGTGCTTGTCCGGCGCCACCAACAAGAAACTCTACAGCCTCGCTGGAAGGGACCATACCAGGTCCTGTTGACTACTCCTACAGCGGTAAAGGTTGACGGGATCGCCTCCTGGATCCACGCGTCACATCTAAAGCCTGCTTCATCACCGGAGGATGATTCCTGGGAACTCAAATGGTCTGATAATCCCTTAAAACTTAAATTGAGCCGAAAGACTCCTTGATGCTGTTTCTGTACACTCCCTTCGTGTGTCATTACAAGATGACCCAACAAAAACCCCAGATTGTAACCCCCTGGGCCTTAATGGGATTGCTCATATTGATTACTCCCGCGATGACTAACCCCCACCACCCTTGGATTTGGTCATTAATTAGATGGGATGGCCAAAAGGTGGTCGGCATGTGGGAAGGATCAGGTAACCCTACTTTTGCTTTCTTTTCCTGCGATATTGTCCCTCAGGCTCCCTGTATGGACCCATCTCAAGGTGTTTACCTATGCCCAGCTTCAGTGGAGGGGAGAACTTATTGTAATTCCCTGGGAGAATATTACTGTGCTTACTGGGGATGTGAGACGGTTGCTACCGCATGGACACCCACCATAAGGGACCAGTACATTAGCCTTTCAAGGCTAACTGGAGCTCGCCCAAAGCCCCCACTTGTTATGGTGGGGCTTGGGATGCTGAGTCGGGCCAGGGACCTGGGCCTTGCCTATACCTACAACTCACGGTCCTTACCCCCCAAGAGCCCTCATGGGTCACAGGAAAAACTTGGGGATTTAGATATTATCAAAGTGGAAAGGACTCAGGGGGATACTTGTTTATTAAAAAGGAATTAAAACTGGAGACGAAACCATCTCTGTGGCCACTGATCCCAACAACTGCTAAGAAACTTTCATCCCCAATGCCCAGGACTACCCAAACCTCACCTCGCACCCCCTCCAGGTATTTGACTAGCCCTCCTGAGTCAGGGCTCGTCCCTCCGACTGTGAGTTCTCTCCTTAGTCTTATACTTGGGGCTCATAAAGCCCTTAATCTTACCCACCCAGACCTGGCCCAATCCTGCTGGTTATGCCTGAGTGCTAACCCTCCATATTATGAGGGGACCGCCCTAAATGATTCCTATACGCTGACCCCCAATTCTGACCAATACAATTGGAACCAAGTATTCCACACTCTTCCCCTACCTGGCCTCGCTGGTCAGGGAACCTGTATAGGAACACCTGACAATTGGCCAGCAGACCTACGCCACCGCTGTCTCACACACGCCCGCTCCTTTCCCAAAAATCAATATCTCATTCCCCCCACTGGAGCATTCTGGTTATGTACCACCGGACTCACCCCTTGTGTTTCCACAAATGTACTCCTTGCTGGAGACAGCTCCTGCATCCTCATAGACCTTATGCCTCGTATTAAGTATCTCCCTCCTGACATGCTCCCCCTCATAAAAAACCGAAGTAAACGAGAACCGGTTTCCCTAACCCTGGTGGTATTATTAGGGATAGGAGTAGCAGGAGGCATAGGGACTGGTACAGCAGCCCTCATTACTGGGCACAAGTCTCGCCAACAACTCCTTGCAGTTGTGAACCAAGATCTACAAGCCCTAGAGACATCTATAACTGCATTACAACAATCTCGTCTCTCGTCTCTGTCCGAGGTGGTGTTACAAAATCGGAGAGGCTTAGATCTTCTGTTTCTAAAGGAAGGGGGCCTTTGTGCTGCGCTTAGAGAAGAATGTTGCTTTTACACTGACCATACTGGAATTGTAAAAGATGCAATGGAAAAGTTAAGAGAAAGAATCAAATCTCGAGAGCTCCCTTCAAGTGAAGCCAAAGTGTTCTCTTTCTGGGAATCAATTCTGCCCTATATCCTCCCTTTATTGGGACCCCTAGCCGGATTCATCATAGTTATGGCTCTAGCCCCTTGCCTCATTAACCGTGTAACCCGATTTGTAAGGACCCAGATTTCTCAAGTAAAGGTTATGGTGCTGCGTCAACAATACGACTCCTTGCCCATATAAGACCTTTAAGATTAAAAGTCATTCACAAGACAAAGGGGGGAATGAGAGGGTTAATTTCCAGCTATATACCCCCCGAGCAATAAAACAGAACAGAAAGGAATGTTTTACTCCTTAACTCCCCCTGAGATATCAGAATAGGACAGGAAGGAATGCTCCTGCTAGTCATTAACCACAAGATGTTCTGTTTTCAGCAGAGATAAGTAAAAGAATGTTCTGTTTAAACAAGACAGAGTTGTACCTGGTACATAGAGATCAGGCCAGGACCCTCAGTCTCCATGGTTACTCAGCCCCTAACCCCGCAAATCAGCTTCTGCCAAGTCCTGCGCCGTTCAAAATTAACCAATGTGATCTGCTTCTGTAAACTTGCTTGCCTCCCGCTTGAGCCCTTAAAAACACTACACAATTCTCCGTCGGGGCCCTCCGCACTTGTTTGCCTGGAGGACCCCATGCGCATGGAAATAAACTTTTGTGCCTCACCCAGAGCTGAGTACTTGGGGTCTTCTTCCTTGCGACTTTGGCCCTTACACATTTATACAGCAAAGTCACAATGTGGTGCAATGTGGGTCTCAAACTACAATCAATCTATAAGCTTATAGCTGCTTAACTAATATTATCCAGCAGGGAAACAAGTTATCCAGAAAAGCTATGTAGAAAGAGATAAGCATTTTGTGGGAACAATAGTCCAGTGTTTCTGGTCATTGAGTAAGGTAACTGATGCCTATCTGGACATCCTGGAGGAAGTCGTGGTAACTGTAGTACATTTCAAGCTATTATTTTTCTCTTCAGGAGGCATGTAGACATGGTCACTGCATCTTCTCTTTCACGTCTGGCTTTCTTCAGCTGTGCCTCTAGCAGTGATACTTTTATTTAGGTTGTTACATTGACTCCTTAGAGGTTCCAATTCCTCTCTGATTGTATATCAATTTCTATCTACCTTGACCTCCTTTGAAAAAATCACAATACTATTTGAATGGATAAAGTGATGTTTATACATTTAAAAAATATTATTTACCTATAGCCAGTTATTTAGCTCAGAAGGCAGAAGCATATGCCTGGCAAGTGCTAGTATGTGAGTTTGATACCCAGTTCAGAAAACAAAATATAACTTAAAATGCAAGGAATAAAATAATTTCACATGTGAAGATGTAGATTAAAAAGATTTTTTGTTAAATATGTCAATGGCGAATAAATTTTGCTAAAATTCATATTTAGTATCTAAGGCTATTGGGCCAGGATATTGAGTTCAGAGTTGCAAGCACTTTCCTGGCAAGCTCAAGGTCTTGAGTTCATTCCCTGGTACCATAAAAAATATCTACATCTTTCAACCATGCAGTGCTATGAGCACAATTATTGAAATTGATAGTTAAAAGGCTCAATGTTTCTTTTGTGGTTAAGAAATACCTTCAGATAACATGGTAAATACAGTGAATGATATACTGTCCCCTATATTATTGCAATTTTCTTAAAGTTGTTTTTATTGTTTGTTTTCCCACATGCTTGATGTTATACACTAACAAACAGAGCTTCGTTATATTTGTGTTGTGTTTGCCAATATCCAAGTTGTATGACCAAATTGCCTGTTGGTTACCTTTGCAAACGCAACTATTTTCTACAACCTGTAGTGCCATCATACTGTTCTGTGTGTGCCATCTTCGTGGGTGAACTAATAGATATGTTAAACATGGTTACCCTCTGCAAAGGACAGATGTTATCTAAAATTAGTTGACAAAGGATTGCAAATTGTTTTGAGACCTCTCTATCCTCTGCAAAGTGAAACAAAGTTCTTCCTCATTCCTTAGTGGACCAAGGATTTCTCATT